TGGCACTCCAAACTAATCTGAAAGTTCTACAGACAAACAAGAAGGGAAAAAATACAAGAAGAGGGAGGGAAGTGAGGAAAGAAAGCAAGATGCAGAGGCGGTGAGAGACAGACGGACAGACCAGAGAGACTGACTACATCCAGGAACACTGTGCTGAGTCACTGACTGAAGGTTAGACAAGAGGCTCAGTACAACAGCCACACCAACATGTCCTAGTGAATTTAAAAGATTATGGATTCTATGATTCTGAATAATTCCAGAAATACACAACCTTTAAAAAAGAGAAAAAGAAGAGTATTTTTAGTCATTGAATCGATGTATCTGTCAACAGCTCTCAGAGGAAAGGCTAGAAAGCCAAAAACCTGGCTTGGTCTACTGAACACAAAGATCAGGAAGAATGTTGCAAAGAGTAAGTTAAAAATAAATCCAGAGAAGAGTACTCTTCCTTTTTGCCTTGAGGATCACTTGCACTATATTCATTGATTTTAACAGAACATCCAGAAACATCACATTGTCACAGGTCGTGGCCATTACTCCATTTAAATCATGAACAATCCTGCAGCAAACTATCAGTGGGAACAATGTTGTTTCCAAGAAATGACCAGAATCATCTCACAAAGTGTGGAGCAGATGGATGATGATGGGAGCCTCCCCACACTCCTTACACTGTTTCATCCACGTTGCTCTCATTTGCCCACTACAATCCAAAAGCTAAGGGACCACGCTGAGACCTGTCTGATGTGCCAGGAAACAAACACCTCTCCTTCTGCAGGCCCCATGTCTGCCACCTCCCAGCCCCCTGGCAACAGCCAGGACTCCAACCCCATCTCCTTTAGCTGCACAAGAAGCTTGGACAATACTCCTTAACCAGAGGAATGAATGCAGTTTGCTGATGGAGACCATCCAATCACACCAGAAACAAGGAGCTTTCTAGCTCCACTTTCTACCTTTAATTATGATTCCCTTTCTGCAGCCATCAGCAAGTGTTAACATTCAACTACAATATCCTAAAGACAGAAATGCAGCTTTCTGTGTAATTTGATCACCTGCTACAACATGGTGGGGCAAAAGCAGGTATCACTACCCCAAATTGTACATGTTATTGGGAAAAGTCAAGAGAGCTTTCACAAGTATCCCCTAAGTGACACCCTGAGTAACATGCTTTGTAACAGAGTTCTAAAACTATTCATTAGCTTCCTTTCCCATATCAAGTTGAAACATATGAAAACTGTGTGTGCAGGAATGGAGAACAATTGAAAACACAGTTTATTTCTTTTTTCAAATTTATTTTGAATGTTATTTATTTTTTAATAAACATCATTTTCTCCAGCTCTAAATCCATTTCCAAGAAGTTAAGTTACTGGGTGACAAATCTGATTTTAAACAGCTAAACCCAATAGCCCGTTACACCTCTCTAAACTCCTATGAGACAAAATCAACATGATATGCAATAGGACAATTCCCTGGCCACATGGAAAACTAATTTGTGAACGGATTCCAATGCTAATTCCAATGTGGTAGGTAGTGGCAATAAAAAACAAAACAAAAACCACAACCAAAAGATCCACTTCTCCAATATAGATGAAATGAAAAATTCATATGATGGAAACCAGATTTTTCTAGCTCTTATCTAAGCTATAAAGCAGAAGATAAAATGATACAAGTATAGCCAACAGAATAACAACAAATGCTTAAAGAAGATACTTGAAAACCTGACTAAAGCATTCAGAATTTAGAAAACTGAACTTGCTTGGAAAAATGCTGCTCATGAATCAAATTATAAAGTAAGCTGCATTTGCAAGTGTCCTGAGCACTGAATATGGAATATTTAATTTGGGCTTTAATTCCACTGTGAATCATCTGCTACCTTGTAAAATACATCAGGAAAAGCAAATAACCAGCAGCAGAACCACCAAACAACGTCCCTCCCCCGCCAAAAAAATAAATTTAAAAAATCAGAGGACAAAAAGGACACAAATACAACAGACTTGATAACACTTACTGTGTTTCTATGTCCCTCTTGTCTTGTTTTGCTATTTAACAGCTTCCCTTCTTGTTATGTACCTGAGATTAAGAGGTATAAAATACTATTTCAAAACCTGCTATCTCATTACTATTTTTTTACTTCTTGGCAAATTACAAGTACTGCTTGAGGTGAGGGGAGTATAGTTTGGTCATGAAGTATTTCAGATTGCAGCTCCTGTCTGAGTATTTTAGCTACAGTAGAGGGAACAACCTGTTGCCTAATGCTGCAAAACCATCTAATCTAACAGTGCTATCTTGATCAGTTCCATTCTGGCTTCAATTAAATACATAGAGTTATGTAAAGGAACAAGAGGATAAACTGCATCCTCAGCACTGAAGCTAGATTCATGTTAAATCAGGTCAAAATGTACATTCACAGCTTTTAGTGCAATGTACATGTTGCAGATTATTTGAAACACCCGCAGTTCAGATTGTGGAAGAAAAATGCCTCAGCTAATTTATGCTAAATTTTTAACAGTTACAATTATTATGTGTGTATATATAAAAAGGAAATCCATCAAGGAAATGGCTTATGAAAAATATTTCAGATGTGCTTAATTTGGAGACAGCAATCTGAGCAGATCAAAAACTGATTTGCTTCTTTTATGTTAGGACAAAACCAAAACAACAAAAAAAAAATCTCGCAGAGCATTATTCTTCATGAAACAGCAATCATTAGCCACACCACAAGAACCAAAATAATAATAAAAAAGTTTAATTACTCCAAAAAAGTGATTATGCTGCTACATTACAAATTACAACTCACAAACACCCAGGAAAGCTAAAAAGTTCAGGACTATCTCACAACAGGAAGACAAAACTTTCAAGTGCTGTAGAGCACTATATTATTGTACAATATATTATTGTGCAGAAGACATGGTACTCCAGTCAAGTACCTCAGAATACACTTCAAAGAGCTCAGGAGAGCAAGACTATGAAAAAGCAGCTTTACCATCCTCTGCAAAACACTCTAAGAGCTCCTCTTCCAGTGCAAGGCATTATGAACATGTGCAAAACTATCTGTAGTTCTATATCGCTCAGGTAAGGAAGAGACGTGCATACATCAACCAAAGATATTCACTGAAAACCCACCACTGCTGCACACAGAAAGGCAAAAGCAAGATTGGAGGCCAGGAAGAAAAACAAACCCCACAGGAGACAAACGTGGTACACAGTATTGCACATGGACTTCAGTACAACAAGAATAAGGGAGGCCATCAGCACGTCACAGCATTCCAGTGCCTGCTAACTGTCATTCCTGAATTATTCCTAGAAACAAAGCTTTCCTATAAACAAAAGCTACTTTTGTCTTCACCCCCTGCAAGAGTATCTTCTCATATTATTCCTTTTTCTAACAAAACAGCTGGTGTATGCAGAAAGAGATTTTGCTCACAGAAGTCACTAATGTCTCAGTCTGTACCTTTTCACAAATCTAAGACCATCACAGCAAATTCAAACATGAATACCTGCTGTTCTTTCACTGTTAGAACTATTTAGCATTAGGTAATGGAAAGACAAGGCTCCTATATGAGGTTTTCTCAAGCCTGCTGGGATTCCTAGCCTTTAATGTTACTTCAAGACACTATTGAAGAAAGAATGTTTTAGCTTTCAATAAAATATTACCAGAGACTCTCAAAATAAAATAAACTGCTATTACATATGAGAGACGGTTCTTGTCTGAATTAATTATTGATGAAAAGATTAAAACCCATGACAAACACCCAACCCCAAGCACAGGAACATACATCTCGTTTTCACAGTGAAGAGAAATTACCAGTATGTTTTCCCCAATTCCCCAAAAAAACCATACCCACACAAACACTCTTCAATAATTCCATGAATAAATCAAAGAGTGGACAAACAAATACAGTAAAGTTTGCTGATAGCAAAATTTTTTTTAAAAAGTCCTAACTAAAAGTTAATGCAGAGTTCAAAAATAACTTAATGTCATAACAATGTAGTAACTATGGTGCAATGTAAGACAAAATATTACTTTTCTACACAGTTTTTAGAACATTATCACATCGCAGCTCAGTGGCAAACAAAAAATGCATGACTTGGCAACAAGAAAGGAACAGAGAAAGAATGTATCATGATGTGAGGCAGAATTTATGGTATACCCTCCTCTTAACTAGTGCATGCAGTCAAAATCACCCTAACTCAGAAGTCATACAGAAGGAGCAGAAAGATTCAGGGAACAGCACCAAGAACTAACCACAGGTTAGGAGCAGTTACTGTAAAAGCAGATACCAATAGATTAACATTCTTCAGCTTGGCTGAACATAGAAGTGGCCTGTAAAATAAAGGTGTTTGCAGGGAAGAGATGAAAATTATCAAGTGTACCAGTAACCATTTGGAACACAGGAACACGGTGGCAATTCAGTTGCATCACTGGGCAGCACACATAAGACAAAAAATCCCTAAGTTTCTGCACAAAATCCTTGTAATTGTTGCCAAAACTGTAACCAAAGCAAGAGAAATTCACAAACAGCAGAGAGCAAGCCCACCAACAGCTATAGGAATCGTGTCCAAAAGGTTGGCTCTGTCCAGGAAATCTAAGTAAAGAGCTGGGGTTTTGCTAGGACAGTACACAGTAAAGGTGGCAAAATATTTGCTCTATTCTTATACTCTTTCCTTATGCACCATTGCTGGCCACAGTCAGACCATTTTAACTGACCTGAACCTCCAGCAGGATTTGGGAATGAAAAATATCCTTTAGGCTGTATTCCATCTTTTTTAATTAGCTTTCAACAGGTATGCACTAAACTATCACCAAATTCCAATTCTATTCACTTGAAAACTGCTTCTCTTTCCATGTCTTTGGAAATTCCAGGCAAGAGTGAGCCAACACTTTAAATTTTTAATAACTGTAACACTATATTGTGACCTTTAACAGAAAACTCAAGTAGTAGGCTGCATATGGACTTAAAAAAAAAGTTGAAAATGACACACAATATAAAAAGAATAAGTGGTACCTCTTGAGATTTCAACTTTTCTATGTCTGCGGAGAGATCTGAGCTTTTTCCATGAAGACTGCCATTTTCCTGTAAACAGACAAACAAGTAATATGAACAATTAGGACAAGAAGAACATTCTGTATTGAAATAATGGGGAAAGCACTGGATTAAAAAGTTGAACATTTAAGACAATTACATCTTACTTAAACTCTGTGTTAATTAACACAAGAAATAACCTAGAAATGTAAAAGGCTGTGTATGATTTGCCCTGCCTTCTGAGAAACCAATCTATACTCTCACAATACAGACCCACACACTCATTTTTGCTCTTTCTCAGAGACATCTGGTCTAGCAGCACATGTAGGAGTAGACAGAAGTTATCGTTATTCAAAATCCTGAATCAGTAATTTGCCTCATTAGTTGAAAGAAAACCAAAAACTAAAGACCATACATCATAGCCAAAATTTATGCATGCAAGCTTGATTTAAACTGGTAAACAAAGTCCAGTGCTTTTTCAGTGATTTCAGAAGTTAAATTCCTGTGTTCTACATTTTTTTACACAAGATACCAGCCACAGGACAAATTAATTTGTGGGTCTTCATCTTTAGCAATTCTATATACAGAGAATATATATTTCTAGTGTTCACTTTTCTGGGGAGACCACAGGAATTAAATTTTCTTGTGAAAAGGAATTGAGTTTTCTTTAAAAGAAAACTCTTGTCACCGAAATGACATTCCAGATTACCATTCTTTATTGCCTCATTTAAAAAAAAAAACAACAACAAAAAAAAAAACCACCAACCAACCAACCAAAAAAACAAAAACCCACAACTAACAAACTAACACACAAGGCTCACTGACTTTACACTATTCAAATATTAGCTGGCTGATCCTCCACCATACAAAAAATTGTGATGAATACAGCCAATGAATCACAAGCTCAAATTCCAGTTAAGTCAGCTTAACACATAATCGATTAAAATTGATCAGCAACATAAAAAAATAAGAGTCAAAACACCAAACACATTATAAAAATAGGAGTTACACAAAGCTGCATAGTAAGATTGCATTTCAAATGTAGAGGAGGCATTGGAAGGTTCAGCTCCATGTCCCAGGTTATGCAGGAAGTTTTAAAAGAAAGTGGAATTTCCATGTTGCACAGAAATATTTCTTTCACACATAAAGTACTTCCACATTTATTATAATTTATTTACTAATGATCAATGAAAAAATCAGGACTTCACGAGAAACGTTCTACTGCTGTCTTCCAGAGTAAGGCAGAGTCCATAATAATACCCAGTGAGCTGAAGCTGATCTTGCAGCCTGCTCATTTCATTGCACAGCACCAGAAAGCTGCAAAGGTGCAAGTGCTAGCACAGCTCTGCCTCAAAGGCACTGAAATTAGAACATCAGGTATGTTCTGTATATCTAAGTCACGTACTTAGCTCATTGTCCTTTTAGGGAGTAAATATTCATAAAAAGAAAATGGAGTAGATTAAAGGGAACGTGAGTAACTAGGGGCAAGCTTGGTTTGACCACTGCATTTAGTTTGAAAAGGGTCATGTTATTTTAGGATATCAGATACTAGCAAGATCCTTCAGCTCACTAAGTGGGATGGATGAGGCTGGAACAAGAACAGGAGGAAGGTATTTAAAAAGAAAAGCCTCTCTTCAACATCATGACACAGCACATACTATAGCTGGTTAATGTTAACAGAGAGGCAAGTGTTCCCTACACTTTGCCAATAAATCTGCTCCTAAGTTACATGACTTCTATTTCCAATTTCTGACTATATGTTAAATAAAATACATGCTCATCATTCAAGTATACATATGGTTTACTTTCATGAATTCTAAGCCTATATATTTTTTAGTCTTAGAAATCTAAATTGATGCTGTAGCTTCCCAAAGTCATTCAAGTCCCTAAAAGAAGCTAATCTATATATTTAAAGGAGTTTCCTTTCAAAAACTTTGCCAAATCATCTGCTGATTTATGCTGTACATTCCCCTAAACTTTCATTATGAATTCTTAGGTGGGTATCTTACCCTTGAAGATTCATATGAAGGACTTGGCTGACCGCTTGTTCCCCAGGATGTGGCACCTGTTCGTTCATCCATACCTAGCAATAAAAAGAAAAATAAAAACCTGTAAGAAATGATAGCAAAAACAATGGTCTCTGATGCTACCTGAAAAAATATTCATCTGCTTCCATACACTCTAAGTAAATTCATCTGCTTTCATACATTAAAGGAGTGTTTCTAAAAGCAAAACTTCATCTGAAGCTTCCTTATTAATTAAGCTGGCTACAGAGGAACCTGTTCATTTGGACACCTGCAGCTGCTGAAAACAGGAGCATAAAAAGCCAAAAAATTTGCCAATCTGCTGTCTGCCCAACCCAATCCGTAAGAAATTAGCATGAGTAAGAAAACAAGCACAACGATGTGAACATCATGGCTTTTAGAGCAGCCCGATTTATCTGCATCTCAAGCAAGCACTGAAATATTGCAGCACATACTGTGAAACACATACTTGTTATCTCCTCTTTGCTCTTGTGTCTTGCTTAAGTATTGTAAAATGTGCAAAATTATTTCCCCTGGTTGGCCTTTATGTGACACGCAAGATATTTTAGCATAATGGGGAAAAAAGGCAAGACAGACTGGTTATATTTCAATGGCTTAAAAAACCCACAGAGAATCATGGTCTCTGCACTACTAAAACAGTAATATTTTCTACACTCTGTAACGGTTCTTTTAGAATCAGTTCCCTTTATGCAAATCCAGGTTGTAGCTCACAAGAGAAAAGGGAAGGAGAAGATCTTTAAACACTGTATCAGAATATATACCCTATTGTCCAATTTCTATCCAAATTTAATTGGTCAAACGACATTCCCAAACAGCTAACTGCAAAAGCACCTAAATTCCTATAGCAAATTCCTTCATACAGGATAATGCTATCGTAACTGCTGCTACTGTCCTAACAATTAGGTTCCTGATTATCTGCTTCACAAGACATTTTTTGTCACATGTGGAACATTTCCATCCTGAACTGCAGGCTTCGAAGCACTCTGGCCAACAAAATGCAACTCATTATTTCCCTGTCACACAAACTTTTCTCATAAAGAGTTTTGATATAAAGCATAAATTCTTTATGTGATATATACTATAAACTATTTATGAAGTTTTATGTCATAATTTATAAATAAGAACTAAGTGTCCCAATTTATAAATAAGAGTAGAGTTCAAGCTACTCCATACAACCATCTCTAAACCCTAACTTGAATATTGAATGAACCTTTTTTTATATTGCAACTATAAAATTTTCATGCATATTTCTCATATGGCCATACTGCAAAATTGAATGTAAACCAATATTGTAAATAACTACCTATGGACCATTACAGTTCTAATCATTATTTCCTTAAGAAATATGCTTTATGAAGCTATAAAACAACATTTTTACAAAGACAGCCTGCAAAAAGGAACGTTAAACTGAAAGTACAGTAAATCACTCAAATAAAAACTACAGACACTCTTTGTGTACAGCAGGAAAGATCCTCAAGGTTGAAGAAGGCTCTTTGAAAATGCAAAACCACCACTATCTTGAGCCAGCAGTTTGGGGAAGTTTACTGCATTTTGCAGCTGACAGTATTGTTGTTGTTTCATTGTAACTGGTCCAGGAGCTGAGTAAAGAGTCGTGGCTGGCACTGACAAAGGCAAAAGTAATCTTTTGGCACAATTGACTCTTTTCTGCCAGAAACAACAGTGCCAGTAATCCAGTCATTATCATAACAAGTCTTCCATTGCCTTCATTTCAAAAGAGATGTATGCGGGGTGAGAAAAGAAAAATATCCTACTGCAAGACAAAGTCCTTGGGAAAATTGAAGATACAGTAGGTTATACCAACCCATTTCAGGAAATATGTGACTAGATAACAGTTATACATAGAGTGTTCAGATGCTAATCAGTAAAACATGCTATTCACTTGAAAATTTGAGTCAGTGGGACATAAGAACTTAATGTCATTGTTCTGCTTAATCAGCACATGTACAGCTAAAAATTCTAGTATTTTAATTCTACCATTTGAATTATGCAAATAAATTGTTTAAAGAAACTGCTCTAAACCAAAATGTAACTGCTTCAGATAGGGAAGAAAACTAATTTCTGACTACTTCCCAGAATTCTTTTTTTCTAAAAAGGCCCAATACAGTTTACTATTCTAGCTAACTTCCTTCTTCCTGCCAGGTGTCTTTTTCCTCCTTTTCATGCAGCTTTTATCCTTCTCATAAGCCCCAAACAGGCTTACACGTAGACCTCTCTCTTACACAAGATTTTCACACAAGGAAGGTGCTTTCATATTTTAAATGCTCTGTGAAGGCTACAAGAAAAAAAGAATCACGTATTGCACACAGAATACCATGCTTGACATCTGGATTTGATTTGGAATGATACTTCTGCTGCCCTTGGTCTCCATCAAATGAGACACCAAACAAGTGCTGCCCCAGGTAGCCAGCAACACTCAACCAAGAAATCAAATGTGTGTCTACCCTGGTGCTCAAGGAATCTGTTCTGCTTCATATGCTAATTTTTTTCCATGGGTGACAGATGAAAACCACCCAAATGTTGGATGAGAAAGACCCAGACCATTCCTAGCAGGATGGGCACAAACAAACAAACAACGCTTACTTTAACAAGCCAAAAGGAACTCTACTCGACTGAGCCAGGACCATCAGATTCACTTTTAAATGTAAAGCCCTGAAGTGGGGAACACTTGGTAAGAAAGAACAGAGGAGTCATCTATGGTAATAAATTCAATAAAGTCTCAAAGCAAAAGTGTCATGAAAAGAGTTCTGGGTATTTCCTTGGAAAAGGCAAAAGAAAACAGACGAACTAGGGGGATCATCACCTTTGTATAACCCCTTCCACAAGGCAATGCACTGACCAATTCCATCATGGATGAATTCATCATTAGTTAATCATGGATGTTAAAGAGCACAGGAAAGCTGCGACAGTTAGCAGAGCACTGAAAACTCTGTAGGGCAAGGCTGCAGTATCTCAGCCTCTGTAGGTAAAGCAAAAAAGGTGGAAACTGAACTGTGTTGTTATAAAGGTCCAAAAACACAGACACATGCAGTCAGGCAGACAGGAGTAAAACAAGGTTCTACCCCCACTTCCTTTTTCAGTAGGCATTGAGGACGGAAAGTAATTTCAATTACTCATGATTTCATAGTTCTCAACCAAAACTGACTACTTCTATAGCACATATGCTGCAGTTTAATTAGGGAGTAACTCTCTAAGTGTGATGTTTGTTCCAGCGGGTTGGTTCAGCTGACTGGGGCTGGGCTGGCTCACAGGGCACCTCCACAGCACTGGCTGTGTGTCCCAGCGGGGACGCCCCCGACCTTGGCCTGACAAGGACACGTAGCACAGCCCAAAGGCCGGAGCGCGGCCTGCCCGCAGGAAAGGCTGCCTGTCCTCACGCACCTCGGGGAGACCCAACCAAACCATGAGGGTGCTTTCTGGCTTTGTGCATCGGGTTATTAAAGGCCCTGCTTAACATCACTTTTATGATGCTTGAAATGTGAGCTTTTCAAGCTATTCTAGAAGAAAACCTGAAGAAACCTGTTGCCTCATTATTTCAACATATGTGTTCATTCTGAAGAAACAGATCCAAACATTCATCTAATAAAAAAAAATTGGATCTTACAATCAAACTGAAATGAAGGTTGTTCTTGCTGGCATAAGACAAAGAAGACTATATTTAAAACTTATTTCAAGAGACACAGGCTCTAATGTTCGTGTAAACACTATAATATACTTTATAGGGTTACCATCTGCTATGATGTTGATCAAATAAATGATTTGACAAAAAAAATCACATTGTAGATTGTTACACTAGGTACTCAAGGTATGAGTTTCTATATTTTATAGCTTCTTTATCCAATTTTGTTTCAGAGTAATGATATTCCTTCAGATAAGATTCAACATCAGAAATCAATTACGAAAAACCTACAGCACAAACCATAACAATGCTGATTGTGTTTTGCATGTCAGACACACAAACATATCAATCTACCATTAAGCTAGATATTGCAAAAGTCTATTGTGAAGCATGATTCCAATTATAATCCAAAATTATATTTTAGGTCTAGACTTTCTCATAAGGGGATGAAAATAGTAATAATATTTGATGGAGATATTCTATACTCAAATATTTTAACTTTCAATAGATTAAGACTGGTTCTCAACATCTTCTTGCTGTTTTCAATTAAAACTATTTCTCTTTTTATACTAGATGTAATATTTTCTAGAATATAATAAAACCATTTATTTTCTAACAAAGAACTCAAAATTCACAAGTCAGATAAATTAATAAATAAAGACAAGACAAAGTTCCACTCATTTATTACTCAGGGAGTGGGAGAAAACAGAGACAACAAGAGAACCAGAATAACACTCAAAACCAAAAGCAGCTTTGACAATAGATACAACGTGGTAGGCTTAAAATATCCAAAGCTGAGAACATTAATCAAATTGAGAAGAGAAATGAAAGGCAGGCAACCTATCAATAGTCTAAGCACTTAAGTGCCATTGGGATAAACTGAAATGCAACATTTTAATTAGGTAAAAGACAAATCACTTTCATTTCAAACTACGTAAATAAAGAACTTTCCATCCACCTTCCACAATAAAGGAAAAGAAAGGGGAAGTGCAAGCATGGAGGGGGGGAAAAATTCAAATCTCAATGCAGACCGTTTCTTGAAGAATGTACTAATTGTCTTCCAGCATACAGGTACCAAGTTCCCCCCAATCCCTTCAGATCTAAAGGCAAAGTTCCTCCCTAGTAACAGAGTTGCTTATTAGAGGCACCAGTGGGAGCAGCAGAGCATCCTTTTGTGTACCTTTGCTCCAGAGAAAATGTATGGAAGAGCTACACCATCTTGAGTTGTCATCTGGTACCACCTCTGAACTTGACAATTACTTCAGGAAACTTCCCAAGATAATTTTATTAAATTGCACAATGCTGCTCACTCTGCTCCCTGTATTGAGCCATGGTGTCACAGACTGAACCCTTAACCCATTGCAGAGTGTAAAAGTGAGATGTCTCCTGGGCTTACCTACT